GAGCATGATTTTCCCCAACAAATCCTCCCTCGCCAGCCCCGGCATCACCTGCGTCCCCGTCTCGAGCACGGTCCGCCAAAGCGTCCCGAACGCCTTTGCGCACCGCTGCTGGCTCGCGCACCGCGCGCCGTGCGTCAGCGGCGGTGGCTGCCCCGGCAGCGCCTCCCATAGCTTCGTAAGCGCGTAGTACCCCGCCAGCAGCCGTACACGCTGGGCGCGCGTCAGCGCCGCTTCGGCGTCCCAGTGCGCCTTGCCCCGGAGCATGAGCGCGTGGTACGCGAGCCCGACGACAGGGCGCAGGTTGAAGCGTTCCCCGGTGGTCAATGCGAGCGCAAGGTCGCGCCCTTCGCCAATGAGTCGCTTCCAGCGCGCCATAGCCAATTCGAGGAGGTCCGCGCGTTCGCACAGCGCGGCCAGCTCGGTGATCTGCACGAGGGTGGGCGGGTGTGAGGGTGAATGGCCGGGCGTGGCGGGGAGCGTCGGTGCCCCAGGAGTAGGAGCAGCGACTGTAGTGAGCACGTCGTCGAACGCGCCTGAGCGGGAGTAGTAGTGGTGCAGCGCGGAGAGTCCCCAGTTCATGACGCTGCGGAACTGGTACTTGTGGGTGATGCGGACGAGGTTGACAAGCTGGGTGCTGTCGGCTTCCGCGGTCATGGCGATCGTGAGTTCATGAGGTCTAGGAATTGTTCAAGGGCCATACATAAGAAACGAGAGATATAGATGGGTAGCTAGGGGACTCACAGCGCATACAGGGCCCATAGGAGCGCACGAAACTCGTCCGCGGTGTCTCCCTGGAGCCTGATCGGATTGTCGTCGCTCTCGCCCTCCTGCGCCGCCGTCATGCTGGAGTCGGAGCGCGTCGAGTCCGTCTCGCCCGAGAGCTGGAACATCGTCTCGAACGCCGACTTATCCTTTGTCAGCACCGACCGGTGCACCCTGAATAACGTGTTCTCCACGAGCAGCACGCTGTTTCCATCGTTGATGTAGTACGTCGGGTCCCTGTAGGGCAGACGGGGCCCGGGCATCGACAGGAGGAGCATGCCATCGTTGAGGAACGAGTTCGTCATCGTCATGAGCGGGCTGTCCGGCGGGAGCGCGGGGTGGTGGTCGTCCTGATCCATGGTGCGCTAGCGTCTCGCCTAGCGGGGTCGTCGGGAATATTAGATTGATCAAGGTCCGCCAAAGGGTCGCGATACGCTCAGGAGAGAACAGAGAGCATGGTATGGGGGATCAATGTGGGTATATGAGCAGTTTCGGGTGCTGCGAGGCGTTGTGCTGGAGACAAACTGCTCGTTCCCGCTCAGCCGCCGCCCCTGATTATAATAGACGCGCTATACCCGCTCAAGCACCCTCTGATTCCTCCAGGATTCCTCTCCGTTTCTGACAAAATCATGACGTCGGGCATATATATTCCCATCAGCGTTCTGAGACTTGACGCCTCAGTACAGATTCAATAGTACGTCTGACTCCTGCTTCAACGAGATCGGTGAAACCGCAGGCCATTTTCACGACCTCGAAATAGTGAGATAAACGAAGGCCACAAACTGGAACAGCATTGCTGCTGCCAGGATGTACCGGTATCGGTGGAGGTTCCTCTTCGTAGTCGCGAAGGTGGTTGAGATGATGCCAGGAGGCCCTTTAGCCCCAGCCTCGTCGATGGCCGCAATTTCCTCCGCGGTGAGGGGCGCTGCGCGCGAAGAGACGTCAATGTGCGAACTCGTGAGACGTACGATGGTGGGGACGCACGGAGGTCAGCGACGGCGAGATATTCCTCAAGGTGCTTCTTTGTAGAACTTGTCCTGAGGCCACAGTTCGGTCAGTCGGCAGCTCGGGACAAGATACAAGTACGCACGTCACGATCGCAACGCCCTTACTCCTGACCCAGGACAATAGCACTTGAGTAGGCGTAGCGTTCAGCCTTTTCGCCGCAGCCTGGACGGGCTTGTCCACGGGTCCGCCAGGATATCTGGTGATAGGCCTATGATCATCGGTCAGAGAATTGTAAGCAGTCCGAGGGCACTGAAGTGGCACTTACTGCAGGCTGCTATATGCTTCGGTGATGATGCCGTGCTTGGCGCTGTACTCGAGAAGCTCCTTGTTCTCCTCGTAGTTATATGGATGGAACAATATCTAAATCTCCCATGTCAATCGAGATGAGCAAGCGTTTGCGGAGGGCATCATAAGACCTGGTTGACCGCCGGCTTGATTCTCGCGAACTTGAGCAGCTCTTGCAGCTGCACGAGGTCGAAGTTGCTGACCCCGATGCTCCTGAGTTCGGGGAACAAGACGGCTCAGTCTCGGGTACCGAACTTCAGGACAGATAATCACCTGGAGAGGCCTGTCTCCTTGATCGTCTCGAACTGCCGCCATTCCTTTACAATGTCCGTTACGACTGCGGGGTTGTGGATCAAGTACAGGTCCACTTGTTTCAACCCGAGCTACGAGGCGACTTGATGCATCAAACTCAGTCGACTTCGTTCAAGTCTCGGGAGACGTACTTGGTCGAGACTGTTGCGAATGGCGACAGGAATCGTGGTGCGCCCGGACCACTTGGTAGTGATGTACAACTCTGAACGGTCGAGCGCGCTATCATGGAGGGCTCGCCCGACACTATCCTCGGTCCCGTACCCTGCGCATTGCCGCACACATTAGGCGAGCCGCGCAGCTAGGTGTACTTTGCACTTACACTGCGCGGTGTCGATGTGGGAGAAGCCCGTCTCTAGGGCTTGGATCACGTAGTCCGTGACATCCTACGAGGCAAGAGGGGTCGGTCTGAAGGGGTTCTGCACTTAGGTGTCTGTGATGGACTAACCTGGCCCTTCCACTTTGACCCAGTACCGAAAGCAATAACTGGCATCTATCGTAGTTATCATGAACACCCTGTGCTTCCGGAGAGTGCAGGTCCACCACTTACCTCGTTGCCATCATTCAGCTTGACCGTTCCGAATGGCATTCTGGCACCTAGCGTGTCCAGGAGGTGGAGGTTGGAGAGAGACGCGTCCCGCTAGCTGCACGACGCGGTGGGAGACTGCGAGGACAAGTATAGGCCAGGGCCATCGAGCTGAGTGAGCGCGACCTGCCCGGGAACTCCGGGGAACCGCTGCGTGTTCGCAAGCATCGCAGGGGCTGCCGTCATAGATTAGATAAGGAATGTAAGCATCTAATCTTATCTCCTCGCCTTTGCACAGCTTCAGACATGATCTCGATCACCGGGTCGATCGGGCTCGTCTCCAGAGGCAACCCAGTCTCCTTCAAGAGGTCCATCCACCATGAACGCCCTCGGGCTTGATCGTAGAGAGCCTCTCCTCACGAGGCCCACCAAGTACAATATCGAAGACTCGAATATTGCGCTTCTTGGCTCGGACGTAAGTCTAAGTGACCCAACGTCTCTCAGTCGTATTGAATCCTTCCTCCCGTTGGACCATGACCCCTTTCCACCTTGTCGTTGGTGACCAGTCGTGACTAACACTGAGTTGAATAGCTTGAGCAGAATGTCAGGCAACATGCAGGTGACAAAGAGCCAGCATGGGACTCAGCGGGCAAACAGCCTGGAGTGCAGATCTGGCGGATAGAACGCTTCACCGTCAAGGAATGGCCAAAGTCGCACTACGGGTACTTCTACGACGGCGATTCCTACATCGTCCTACATGTGAGTACAGTGACGACTCGTATACAAAGTTATACTTGACGCCGTCTTCTTTGCTGCCGCAGACATACAAGAAAGACGAAGACTCCGAGGAACTCTTCTACTACCTGCACTTCTGGCTCGGTGCAGAGACCAGCCAGGACGAGGCCGGCACAGCCGCGTACAAGACAGTCGAGCTTGACGACCGTACGAGCGCGTCCTCTTTTCAGTACTGCGGCACTGACTCGTCGAGCAGACCTCGGCGGCAAGCCCGTCCAGTACCGTGAAATCCAATCCTACGAGTCCCCTCGCTTCCTCTCCTACTTCCCGCGCTTCATTTGTCTGCACGGAGGCGTCGCATCCGGGTTTCACCACGTCTCCGCCCCGCCCCCAGACAACACTCGCCGACTGTACCGCATCAGTGCCATCCAGGTTCCCGGGCACGCCACCGCGCACCTGCAGGTCCGCGAGGTGCCAGCAGAGGGCTCGAGCGTTGTGCAAGGCGACGTATACGTGCTCGACATGGGCGATCGTGTGTGGCAGTTCAACACGCGCGAGAGCGCGGGGAAGGAGAGGTTCAAAGCTGCCGAGTTTGTGCAGTCGCTCGTGAACGAGCGCCAAGGGCAGTGCGAAACGACTGTCCACGGTGAGTGTGCCTGAGAGCAGTACCGGAGAACTCACATTTCTGAATCGTGATCGTGATGCCACAGATGAGCACGGGGCAGGAGCGGGAGTCTTCCTCTCTGCCCTAGGCTTGCAAAGCGTCCCGCCCGTAACAGAACTTTCCTCCGCCTCCCACTCAGAAACGCCTCTCTTCCGCCTCTCGGACGCTAGCGGCAAAGTGACCTTCGAACGTGTCTTGCCACCTACACTCTCCGCGCTCTCCTCAGACGACGCGTTCGTGTTGGACGCCACCGCCAACCGCCCCGCTGGGACCCAGGCCGTGTACGTCTGGGTGGGCCGCAACGCATCGCTCACGGAGCGTAGGCTTGCCCTGCAGTACGGGCAGCGGTATCTGTACGAGAGGAGGAAGGGCGAGGGTAGGAGTGCCTATGCGACGCATATCGTGAAGATGCGCGAGGGCCAGGAGACGGACGCGTTCTTGGCTGCAATGGGTGGTTGAGTGGGGAGTGGCAAGTGTGTTAGAGAGATACCCGGAAGATGCATATATTCCATGTTGTACGGACAGGTCAAATCGAAGAGCAACCCAGCATGCCGTAAGCCCCGATTCAATATTCACTGGTCGCAGTCCTAATGACTCAGCCATCCAATCTGTCAACGTCTGTAGGAAGCGCACCTCAGCTTGCGTGCAGTTAGCAACTCTAGAGAAGACGAGACACATCCCAGCGCAAAAAGTCGACAGCGAGTTTTCCCATGCCTCCTGGCTGGATTGAACAACCGACCTCACCATCACACCGAAGTACGAGTGGCGCGCTCTACCACTGAGCTAAGAAGGCACGGTTATCTAAAGTAGCAATCTGCATATATCAGGTTTTGATTACTGTATCATGTGAACTCGCGCCACAACGCCGCCTCATTGCAATTGTCCGCAGTCGCCAAGATGACCACTTAACGTTGAACCTCGGGTTCACATTTTGCGTGACATCCTATGCAGCTGCATGCCGGAATGATAGAATATTTGCCTCGCTCGTCCTCTGGCTTCTTGCCCTTCCGACAAGCTCATGTCGGGCTTCTTGGGACTCCGCCAAGATCAGGCCTGTGAACGGGATCTCGGATATGCCTGAGAAGCTCAAGAACCGAGTCTGCCTAATTTGGGGGGAGTATGGGACAGTATGAACGTTTGTATGAACGCTAGCCCAGTCATGTGTCGAACGTGTAATATGCTCTCCCCGTCGCTCATCATATTGTTGCCATAGCTCTGCTTTCGGCCGAGCCCCGCCATGAGCTCATGTTCTCTCCCCCCTCGGGCCATTCCCAATACGCAGTGGTCTCCGGCGCAGGCCGCCTGTAAGAATACTAATATGCCACACCGTCACCTTTGTCACCGCAGAGGCCCCCTATCCCCGCCCACAACGGACTGCTCTTCTCGCCTCCCTCTGCGTCCCGACCAGCATCACCATGTCCCCCGGTCCTTCCGCCGATCCGTCCGCCAGTTCCCCTACACCCTCAACCGCACCACAGGCTAAACTCTCAACCTCCGATTCCAGTGACGATGATCGCAAGCCCCGCACGCTCATCCTCTGCTTTGACGGCACGAATGAGCAGTATGACGGCAATGTAAATCTACTATATCATTGAATGGATCCATGAATTGACCAGGCCTCTCCAGAACACAAACGTCGTAAAGTTCTACTCTCTCCTCAAGAAGGACGACGACAACGACCAGCAGCTCTGCTACTACCAGGTGAGATGCCCGTCGTCGTCGGCTGGGAGCGCACGACGCGCAGCCTGCCTCCCTGAGAACCTTCTGTCCAAGCGGAACCAGTTCAGATCAGAGCTGCCAGTCGGACGTCATAAGGGGCTCGGTCGCTGATCTCAATTCAACCTCGGCCGCAGAGCGCTGACCCATATACACACAGCCGGGTGTCGGGACCTATCTCAATCCGGGAGTTGTATCACCCTTGTTCCAATGGGGTGCCAAGCTGCTAGACGAGGCTTTCGCATGGCGAGTCGAGCTAGGGCTCCGTGCGCGTACATGTTCTTGACTTTCCATCCTCTAGGTACCTTGACGCGCACGTGCGTGGAGGATATCAGTTCCTCATGCAGAACTACAACGCCGGCGACAAAATCTGTCTCTTCGGTAGGCTATTACGTAGGCCGGCCCGGTAACAAGTGTACTTACGCGCATACAGGCTTCTCCAGGGGCGCGTACACGGCCAGAGCGCTCGCCGGGATGCTTCACAAGGTTTGTGTTGCCAGTGAAGACGCGCCTCCAAAGACATGTGAAGTCGAGCTGACTGGATGTAGATCGGGCTGCTCCCTAAAGACAACCCGGAGCAGATCCCCTTTGCATACAAACTCTACACCAAGACGGACAAGGACAGCTTGGCCATGGCGGCGGGGTTCAAGCAGACCTTTTGCCGAACCATCGAGATCGAGTTCGTCGGAGTCTGGTGAGTTGTCCCGCAAACCTCCCAGCAGCACGTATCATGCTCAGTATACGCTATCCAGGGAGACCGTATCGAGCGTCGGTGTGCTGATGTCCCGCACGTTGCCATTCACCACGGCGAACATGACCATCAAGAGGTTCCGGCATGCCCTCTCCTTGGACGAGGTCCGTTCAAATCCTCAGTTCTTGTATGACCACTACAGACCTCAGGTATCAGCACCGCGTGAAGTTCCTACCCAATTTCTACCATCGTGCACCTACGTCGTCAGACGTCCGGTTCTCTGTGTTCGACTCCCAGCAGAGCGACGAGACCCGTCAAGAATTAGCACCAGGCGTGCCTCCTGCCACCGCCGACTCCGAACCTGGCAAGGCGAGCAAGACCACGCGTCGCGGCTGGTTTGGGAAGTTTGCAAGGTCTCCGGCAAACGTGGAGAAGGCCAAGCTGCATCAGAACAAGGCCAGGCTGTTGCGGCGCAAAGGACATTCCCCAACTCAGTCCAGCACCTCGAGTCTAGTCGCGGAAGCGCAGGGTGACCGCATCCCCGGCGGCACTGACGTCCAAGAGGTCTGGTTCGCCGGCTGTCACGGCGGTACGTCCGCACCCCCTCTTCAAACCCCATCTCTCGTCCACAGACCGAGGCTCATCTTCACTTCTATAGACGTCGGCGGGGGCGCGGTCGACGACGACGTCGTGGTCAGCCTTTCCGATATCACGCTCCGCTGGATGGTGCGCGAGGTCGTGCTCGCGCAGTGCGGGATCGCGTTCGACGAGGCCGCCCTCGTCCGCGCCAACATCCCCGAGTCAATCTTCCGCGGGACCGGCTTCCCTCTGCCGGCACAAACGACCATCTCGGTCGGGCCCCATCATATTGGGCTCGTCCCGCCCGGAGAACAAACCGCGAACGGAGCCGGGCCCCAGCCTGACGCTGCGAGTCCGAGTCCTGGTGGCGGTGAGGGGAGCGACCCTCTGGACACGAGCGCAGACGCGCTGCAGCCGATACACGACGCGCTCAAGACGTCTCCGATGTGGTGGCTAGTGGAGATCGTCCCCACGTGGTGGCAGTGGCAGAAGCCCGACGGGACTTGGAAGACGACGTTCTGGTGCGTACCCCCTCTGAGGGTTTCATGCGTCCGAAGAATTTGAGAATGAGACTGACTGCGGGTGTCGCGCTAGGTGGCACCTGGGGCGGGGGAGGCAGGTTCCCTTGGACGTGCAGCCAAAGTTCCACGTGACGGTGCGGGAGCGGATGCAGGACCCGAATCTGAAGTATACCCCGAAGGCGCAATGGAAGGCCGGCACGGAGGTTTATGTCGACTGAAGGGCACCCGGCGCGACTTTGACGCCCTTCGTATGGTCCTCATGAGCTTCAGCACGATGGTTTGACCTGGGGATGGAACGCATATTCATGCGCTCGCGCCTCTATACCACCTTTGCACACTTCACACGATCCCTTCTTTGCATTGGACAGTTCTCTACCACTAGCATCGACGTCTCTGATGTACTACCCATCCCTCCACCCGTCCGCACACATATCCTACGCACTCCTACTTTCATACAACAACCCGCCTTCGTGGACTCATGTTCTTGCCAATACTCATTCGTCAATGTAGCACCAACCATGTACAACGTATCCACGACCTCTGATGACCGTCACGTCTCCAACCAGGAGGTCGTTCCAGCATGGATTTCAGAGGCTCTCAGAAGGCGGGACATAGTCAATAAGCTCAGCCGCGAGCTTGTCGTCAGGTCTGGATTGCGTTACATGCACACATCTGTAGCTGAAGCATTATTCATTGATAGCTGCCAGTACGACATTGCAATAGTACTACTGCATGGATAGGTTGTAGGGATAATATCAAGTCCGCTGGTTTTGTGCAGCACCGCGCTGCATGCAGACGCCGCGTGACGCTCATTGCCTGAACGCATCCGCGAGGAACATCTCGATCTGCTTCTTGTGGAGAGCCTGAAATTCTCGTCAATGAACCGAACATACGCGTCCTTCAACAGGCGGAAATGCACCTTGCTGCCCGTAGCGACGGAGCTCGTCGGCTCGCGGCCGGCGTAGAGCGGGTACTTGCCCTTGTGGTGCTTCGTCTCGTTCGCCGCGGTGAGGATGCGAGGGCCGACGTACGACCACGCGCCGTTGTTAAGGGGCTCCTCCTAAACGGCCGTCAGGAACCTGAAGGAGAGAAGGGAGGTGATGGGCGTACCTGGCACCAGAGGAGGTCTGCATTAGGGTACTTGTCGAGGTGAGGCGTCAACTGCGCAGAATGTCAGCATCAAGTGAGCGGAAGCGTAGGCGAAGGGGACTTACGAGGTCGTAAGGGAAGGGCGAGAGCTGCTCGATCCTGCTAATTACGACGTCGTTGATGCCCTTGTCCTCACGCTCCTGCAGGAGCGTGTGGTACACTTGACCTGGAAGCGACGAGTGAGCTGGGGGCCCCCTGCTTCGCACCAGCGGGGGCGACTTACCTGTGCAGAGGATGTGCCGGCGGACCTTCTCGGGAGGGACGAGGTTCTCCGGGTGGGGGTCGGGGATGTAGCGGATGAAGTGGGTGTCGCCGACCATCTCCGAGAGATCAGAGCGGGCGCGGGGGTGGCGGAGGAGGGATTTTGAGAAGAAGAGGATGAGCTGGAAGGGCGAGTCAGCCACCAAGACAAGGGAGAGTGAGGCGTTTGACTTACGGGTTTGCGGAAGCCACGGTGGATCTGACGACGGAGGACGTGGAACTGCAAGAATATGTATTAGTATCGGCGGACGGGCAAGAGAGCAGGTTGGGCGTACGTAGTTCGCCGGAGTCCTACAAGGAAACAGGATCAGCAATATATCCATGCCTTACGCAAACACCGCAGTCGACTTACGTGGGGTAGACTACCTGCATGTTGCAGTCCTGGTGCTGGCGTTCGATTTTCTCGGGGGTAGGGAAGATGTGCGGGTGGTCATCGCACAGCTGGAGGAAGCGCTCCATACGGCCGCTCGAGTGCTCTGGACCCTGACCATCGAAGCCATGGGGGAGGTTCACGACGAGGCCGGTGCGCTGAAGCCACTTGCGCTCGCCGGACGCGATGAACTGGTCGATGATGCACTGCGCGTTGTTCGCGAAGTCGCCGAACTGCGCCTCCCAGATCGTGAGCGCGTCGGGCGAGACGAGCGAATAGCCGAGCTCGAACCCAAGCGCGCCGTACTCTGACAGCGACGAGTTGCACACGACGAAGCGCGCCTGGCCGCCGCCGAGGTTGTTCAGCGGCACGTACTGCTGCTCGGTCTCCTGGTCATGGATGACCGCGTGTCGCTGGGAGAACGTGCCGCGCTCAACGTCCTGGCCGGACACGCGCACGTGGATCTTCTCGAGCGCGAGGGAGCCGAAGGCGAGCGCCTCAGCGGT